ATAATTGTTCATGTTGTGCTGAGCCTAGGTTTTAAAACTACACGGTGGCTGCATTTTGTCCTCAGTATAGAAAATATATTTGGGTGGTAGGTACTGCCTGTTTGATTTTTAAAATTTATGTGAATCAATTAAAAATATTGGTATCTTGGCAGTTGGGAGAAAACTATTAAGGTGTTTTTTTTTTTTTTTTTTGATGTACCACTTGGGTAAATTGATTTGAGTATGAGTTCAGGACTAAGATTTATTTTGGAAAAGTCGGTTTTTTGATAGCTAATTAATACTTTTATGTCTCATTTAAAAAATTTCCCTAGTATTTTTCTTGAGTGTAAAAAAACTAATATTATGTGTGCAATTTTTATTTTTGCAAAATAGAAAATTTTAACTTTAAACTAAGTTAAGTTACTTTTTTTTCAAAGTTAACTTTTAACTTAACGAGTTAACGTAAAAAATATGATTAACTTTTAATTTAACTTAACTTTTATATTTTAAAATAACTTAACTTAACGAGTTAAAAAAAATCGTTAACTTGCCCAGCCTTGATTTTTCATACAGCTCTAGAAGTTTTATAAAAGGTTATAAATGTTGTATGTATGTTGTACCCACATTATTTTAATTATAGCAATTATATTTATAATCAAAATAGTAACTATTTTGTAAGTTTTAAAGTCATCTGTAATAAATATTCTTTATATAATATTAGTCACTCAAAATAATTATGTGATTCACTGTGATTGGAATTTATACGTTATTGTAAATTATTGTATAGGTACCTAATAAAATAATATACTTTGACAGTTTGACTTATAAACGTTAAAACTTCTTCGAAGTGTCACAGAGAACAAAAAAATCTTAACAATGTATGGACAAAATATTGAGTTACAAATGACAGATTCAAATAATTTAAAATAACTCAAATTTATCTTATCTTATCTTATACTTCGAGACTAAAACCGGTAATTATTTAGGTAATGATAAAAGATGTAAAAAAAAAGTACTATTATTACCTGTCAACCAGACTATTTCTCGAAAAATATTGAACAGAACATTTTTAGTATCATTTAGAATCTTTTATTCTAGATTGGGGTGGTCCCACCTTTTGTAGTTGTAGAGCCAATTTACAAATTTATATAAACATTGGGGGCCACTGAAAGAAAAAATAATTTTTTCTTATACATATTTTATTTTATAAGTAACAAAATATTATTATAACTTATCACATTACAGATTAATAATAATTTAAAATAATTGATTATTATTGATCGGCAATATGACTGACTGCCGTCGTCTCTTACTGTCTATAGTGCCTTATTGTTGATTGATAAATATAAATGACCAACACGTTAATCAGTTATTGTATTTCAAACTTACCTTCAGTATCCAGTGAGACTCGAAGAAAATCCGGAACCGCCAACAGCTGTGTCAAACTGAACTGTCAAAGGCGAATATAAGAATGCACACGAAAATCACACTTTGCCCAGCATCCGGAGATGCGGAACTACGGCTGGCCAATCAGAACAGATACGCCCTTTGGAAATCATTACAGTCGAGGCCCATCGCATGGGCGGAGTTTGGATTATCCCTTTTATTATGCAAATTTTGTCGCAAACAGGGTTTTCCTATACAATAAGTTCAAAATAGTATTATTATTATTGTTATTATTATTATTATTATTATTATTAAAGGTTCAAAAATTGATTTTATTTTAATTTGCAATTTCATGTGCAAGGATTTTTTCAGTAAAAATAAAAAATAAATTATTTTCGGAATATAGAAATAATTATTCCATGTTTACAAGATTGACAATTATACGCACACCTATATAGTAGGTATATACATAATTAAACGAACCCACATGAAATTTCAATAATATTTATAAATTTAATTTAAATTTGAAAAATTCTTGCTTACGCGAAAACTCAACTTTGTATAGCGGCCCAGATCTACAAATGTATGTCAAAACAGCACCGTTACCCCAGCGAACCCCGGTGAATGGTGAATTCCTCTTATAGACTTATAGTTTACTTTTAACAGATTTTTCCATTAAGAATTTTATGTCAAATTTTTTTGACACAAATCTGTTATTGTAAAACCTGCCCTGAAGGGTTGTACTCCCACTCTAATATATACTATACACACCACACACCCATCTACGACAAAATAAATTACAATACCATTCATAATAGGAACAGTAAAAAGATAATACTAAATAAATTTAAAAGAAAACAACTCAGTTAGAGGATAACACCACGAATTAAGATAGGTAATATTATATTAATAACAGATAATCAGTGAACTATGTTTGGTTTTCTCTCTCTGACTCACGTGTGACATAGGTAGTAAACTATATCTGTAGTATTCATATGTTGACTTTTTTACGATATTTATACATTTTTCTATAGTAAATCAGTAAATGTAATTTTTAAATTTTAATATTTCTGGTAGGTATTCATTTGACTTATATTACATTTGACAAATGTTGTAAAAAAGCCAAACTACAAACACAAATAACACACTGAACTTAATAAGTTTTTAAGTTTGATAATAGGTCAACTCACTTTAATATAAAAGTTAACATCACTATGCGTTCTCCTGAACGTATAATATGTAGAATGTGGTTCAGTAAGAGAAAACAACATAATATAGTGCACTGACATTTTCTTAACCAATCTTATAAATGTTTAATGAAATTTATAAATAGTGACTGATAACATCAATATGTTCAGTGTACGGCAGCTCTAGTAGTGAGGTTGCAGTCGGTTAGGTTTTAGTATTATTGACAAAAAAAAATACGATCCTTATAAAAAGTGCACGTTATAAATTATGTTTTAAAAATTATTATGTTATGATATAAATGATTTTATTATTAGTAAACACTTTGAAGCAGAAAAGAGTTTTTATTAGAGGACTATGCCCCTTTCTCCAACCCAACTCCAAATTGCGCTTATATACAAATATTGTTCAAATATTAAGATAAATAACTATACTTTAGAAATAACATATTTTTCTAAAATTACTTGCCTAAAACCAGGCAATTTTTTTTTCTTTTCACTGTGTGCCATTAAATCATGAACACTATTATATAATATACCTAATATATATTATAAGAGATAAAGATTTAAATTTAAATAAAATATTATTTAAATAATTTAAATAAATTTAAATTTGTTCATCAAGAGATTTAATAAAAAAAATTACATACCTAATTACTAATTATTTGCTTGATGTGATTCTTGTTGTATGCTGGATGCCAAATCATTTATATTTGCTTTATGACTTTTAACTTTAATACAGTACATGTGGCACTGCATTTTTTTGGTTAATTGGTTTCTCGGATCAGATTTGATAACATTAATGTCCAAAAAGAGCGACTCGCATGAATATGTCGAAGAAAAAATTGACAAAATGACCAATGCTACTATATCATTAAAGTGGAATAATTTTCTGAAATAATATAAAGCATTCCACACGCTTTCGAAATCGTGTTGCCTGTCATTTCAACCAAACTGCATCACACTCAATTTCTTCCAATTGACGTACTCAATGCTCATAAATACAATAGCCAATAGGTATACATTATATTCTCAAAACTAAATATAATAATATGATATAAATTGTTTTCATTGAGCTTTTTTAAAAATTGTTCATAAAATTTCAAAATAAAATACTCTTAATCAAAACATAATAATTATAGAAATTTTAAGGTGTCCACAATTTATTTTGACACATAATTCATAAATTATCAATTCACTATCCGTATTTCAAATATTATATGTATGTACTTAATAAAAAAGTTGTCTGGCCAAAATATAGAAGTCAATATTATATAATGAGTGTAATATTGTCTATTATTATTTATTTGATAGAATAAATAAAATCAGTGTGATAAATAATTTCGATTTTTGATCATAATTTGATGATAAATGTATGTCTGAATTTACTTTGAACACATTTATCATAAAATTACTTTGACAGTTTGACGTCAATACTTAAGAATACACAATCATAGACAACTAAGCTATAGCCTTATGTCTTTAAAATACATAGAAAAAGTATAATAATTTACTCATAATTTACTACGAAGAAATTTATCATGAGAAGTTGAATGTCAAACGTTTTATGGGTAAAATATTAACAATAAGTTTATAGTAATATGAATCGATAAACAAATTAGCAAGTAAACAGTCATTCGATGTATACGAGTATTATGTAATTTTTTATGTGTATATTATTATGAACAGTGCAAAATTATAATATTATTCAAAATAAAAATATAACATTACTTATGTACCATGTACGATGTACACCTACCTACTACGTTTGTCATATTATATTTGTATAGCTAGTGCAAAAAATTACATTTTTGGGATACCTATTTTATAATAATGTTATAGATAATTATATAGATTGCATAATATGCGTTTATCAGGCATTCGGGCCACTAAACTATCGATATGTATAATATTGTTTTTTTTCAATTGGCTTATAATAATATGTATGATATATTTAGGTAAGTACACCATTATGATCCACGATCATCTAAAATTATTATATATTTATTTATTTACGTTTAGATAAAAACGTAACTGATATTTTTCAACTTTAAATATTGAGGAATTCTTATGCACTTATACCTATACCTATATGAATATTTATTAATTTATTGACACGTCATAACAATTTTCTAAAATGTATGCACTTTGTTATGATAATATTCTGCCTAATTAAATAAGAAATGTCACGGAAATTAATGCTAATATTTCGTTAGTTTGCAAAACTTGCGTTTGTTTTTAATTGATAAAACCTGTGTATACGTCACATCTGTATCCATAGGGACGAAAACAGTTATTACGATTGCTTGTCACGGCAGAAGAAAGTTACCCGAATACCGCAGTCTTATAAGAACTCTATTTGTGTTTTGAATATTTTAAAAGTGACAACAAATTTTTTTATCTTGTTATTCGATCGTCCTGTAGTAATTTTATTATATTACACGCAAAAGTATGTCCATGAATTACACATGTAATCAAGTAAGTGATTTATGAAACAACGAATAATATTAAACGTAGGTGCCTATTATTATAGGTATATATAGTATAGTATTAACACTATTATGATCAATATTGTTTTGGTAGTAATTAGTGGTTTTGGTAAAGATATTTTAAATAGAAAATAATTACCTAGGTACCTATTTACAAATTATAGACATTGTTTAGAAACATGATGTTTCACCGTACCTACTTCTGTTTTTATTTTTCAAAATTACATAAATGGGATCGGAAAGTGATAAAAATTAACCTACAAACGGTACATTTTACAAAAATTAAAATTATTAATTAGATATTTTAATGTCACCTATATTGTATGAGTTGCATAATGTATCGAGTAAAAATAATCATCAACCGTGATTAGTGAAACAAATAATTAATAATTAATAAAATAATTCAAAACCATCCTTTCTGTTTCACATTTATTGTTTGCAGTGATAACTAAAATAACAATGAACTGCAGTTTAGCATTATTTTAATCAATGTAAAATTGTACCTATGCCTTATGCCTACTTTTTATTTTGAGAAACCATATAACTTTCTCTATTTTCTAATACTAAGCTGTTCATACTGCAACTGTTCCACACACAATTTTAAATGTAACTTTTTTTTAAATTTGAATATAATATACGATTTTTAACGAACTGATAATATGGTATCAGTGTATCATTGTTTTTTCTGTAAGTTCTTAGTATGGATTATATTTTATTATACGTAAGTACAAATGTAACAATATTTATAAGTACAAATGTAACAATATTTATTATAAAAATAAAAATAATAAAATATATACAGTTTATATTATATTTATATTTCATAATTATTATATTATATTATATACCGATAAGTGGCTAGTACACCATGTGTATATTATTATCTTTATTTCAAAACTAAAAAGTCTACGCCTCTCTTTCTTATCAATACCTATCTAAACGTACACCGCAAGCATTATTTGCAGTGCTAGTGGTGCTACTGACTTAATAGCACATAAATATACCTATTATATATAAGTTTATGATGACAGTTTTAATTAAATTTTGTACCTGTGTTACAATTTAAATGTGCCGAGGCCGTTTTATTTTTTACTTTTATTTTTAATCGATATAATATCGCGTATATATTGTATAATATATTCTATGTATACAAGTTTCGATTGAAAAGTAAATATTGCATACATCATAATATATAGGAATCTAATATTGTACGTATAATTTGCAGATGCTCTAATATGATATGACGTATACTGAGTTTAATGTATACCACTCTTACCCACCGCCTCCCAATCGGCAAAAAAAATATTGCCATAGTAAATAGCATTATAATCTGTGTTGGATTTGTTTTCAAAACATCTAAAAAAAATAAAAAACAATTTATATTCAATACTGCCTCCTGTTTTATAATGTAAAGCGCACTAGCAATATAATAACTATCTTTATGGCTAAATGTGCTGCAGCGAGTTGTGTGTGTATGTACATTGTACACTGCAGATTCGAAGGGATAACATACTCCCTTCTGATCATTAATCAACCCCCTCGAACAACCCATCTACAATGACAAACTATACATATATTATAAAGAATAATAATAATAATAAACAAGTATAAGCCGAAATGACCCATCGCCAACAGAGTTTTGTGCTGCTGCAGGTGTATTTCATATTTTTAGGGACCAGCTAGTCGATGAATATAAATAATAAGCAAAACAAAAGCGGAATAAATAACAAATAATAATATATGTGTACTTAATGCTTTTTACTCGAATTATTATATTATTATATAGCGCAATGATGACGATATAAGCACAGATGGTCTAAAAGTTAAAACCAATTATAATGTATCATAGTATTATTATATTGTTATGGTTTCTTAAAAAATGACATATTATAATTTTTAAATTTGTTAATAAAAAACCTTCCTTTTTGCATATATTTTATAATATATAAGTACGGTGACATCAATCGAATCAAACTTTCTTTTGGGCCCGACACGAACATGTTCAGTGGGGCCCATTATCTTCTTGAAGAATAAATAAAAATAAAAAAATAAAATAAAAAAAATTGTAAAAAATTCTTGTTTCACCATGCAGAGTCGTTAAGGCTTTTTCTAAATCAAAAGCTGTCACACAAAATGTTGGTTCAATTGCTGCTCTCACTTAATCAGCATTTTCAATTTTGTAGCTCCCTAATAGGTATATAAGTTTTCTTTTACAAGATCTTTGGCTGATATTTAGATAGGTATACCAAATAATCTTTTCGTGGGGAAATCACGGTATAGTGATGATATGTATTAACTGCAGGTAGATATCTCAAAACCGACAAAAACGCTGAGTCAAGGCCATTTTCACTGTGGGTTAAATATCGATAGGTATTATTAAATAGCTATTAGATGGTAATATATACCAGCCTTGGTATAGTTCGAATGAAATATTTTTTATACAATTATATTTTCAAAATGTTCGTATTGTGTAAACGCCATAGAAAATATCTGAGCATATTATTATGTACAAACCGAACAGAAAAGATTTTTAGTTTACATCGACGTGTCGCGGTATAGGTGCGTACGGCGACGTGACCGATGCGCGCGAAACGCCCAGTGAGGGGGGTGGCTTTTTTTTGTGCCACGTGCACTGCGCCACTGCTCATATATATAACGACGTCAACAAACACGGGATTGAGGGATTATATCAATGGGCAACTCCAAAGCCATCAATCAATTTCTCCGTTCCCCCTCGTACGTTCTTTTTTCATCCGTCCTCGCTCTCGTACACCTCTTCATTTCTCCGTTTCTCTTCTTTCGAGCCGCGTCCTTTTATTTTATTATTATTTGCATGCATATGCCTAATAATATTATATAAGAACACGCTCGATAATTAGATTACAGTCGATCTTTATCAACTTATAACCGCAACCGAGATACGAGGTGTACGCGTGTGAAGTTGCCACCCCTACTTTGTCTAATCGAATTCTAACTAATACCAAGTTTTAAGTCACACATTCTTTATACTGGCAGAAATAAATTTTATTTGGGGTTCCAATAGTTCACCTATTGCACCACAACTTTATCTGGTCTGCAACCATTCAAACGTTAATACAGTAATAGGTACCTATACCAAGTTTTTGCAAATTATATTAATTAATGAATGTCCAATATATAGACTAATTGGTACAACATTATAATAATTCTAATATGATCCTGTGCACATTATATAAGTTCTTAAAAGCTAAAAAATTAAGTTTCTAAATTATCTTATAGACAGTTAACGGAATCTAATTAATTATAACAGACAATCACTGCTTCATCTATAGTTGAACCACTAGACCAGTACCATTGAACACCTCCTTTCATGCATATATTCTATCATCATTCGTCAGCTTTGATCCTGATCAAAATTTGGCGGTTGGAACAATTATTATTAGATTTGGCATACTATTAATACAAAAAATAATTAATTTAAGTAAGAGACAATGATATAAATGAAATAAAGATGAATATAAGTTCCTACTCATTACACACGAACGAATATTATTTCTGATGGCATAAAAAATGTATTGCAAATGGTTTTTATGATGTTGTAAGCTGATAAAAATAATTAGATACTCGAGTTGTAGAAGTATGAAATAAAAATTCAAACAAGTGTACCTACTTATGCCTTTTAAAAAAAATTAACAACCATTAATATGTATTAGAATATTATACGAATTATGAATAAAATATTATTATTTGTATAATATGTTTGCGTTTGGATATAATATAGCAATATTGCATCTGCAATAATATAAAGTATATATTTATTTACATAACTATACAATACTGCTTTAAATTATTAGGTATTGTATTACCTAATTATAAATTGTTTTAGAGAACGATCCCAACGCATAAACACTCCGCCAAACTCCGTGTAAAAAAACGGCAAGTATAAGAAAACCATGCAGATCTAAAAGTTGTAATAAAATTTTATAGCCAAGCCTTTGAACTATAGTGTTGTTAAATTGTTATTGCTAAAATAGCCTACTTATAATTAAACTTAGCTAGGTGACTTAGGTTAATCATTTAAAAACACTATACTCTATAGCATAAATATAATGAGTACATAATACATATTATTATGGTCTACTAGGTACCATAGAAACAACTAATGTGTTTCTAATTTCTAATCAAGTGTTTTGAAGGCACCAATCTAAGTTCAATATTATTAGCAGACTATTTGAAGATAAATTATATACATGTATAGTTACACACTTCTACAAATAAAGTCCAAAGACTTAGCTGGAAAATAATGTACACAACAACTGCACAACTTTTAGAGCTGGTTTTTTTTTTATACCTAGCGTATTGTTTGTTTGCGTTTTAATATACGGCAATATTGCATTTGCAATACGATGAATACAAAATATACAATGTGGCGTTAAATTATTACGTATTGTATTTGTTGTTGAGGACGATATGAATATATTATGACAATACACTAATCTGTTGTTTACAAACAATTAGAACGGCCGTCCGTCATTGTCACAGGCGACGCGGCACACACCATGCTCGCGCGGTTACTAGTCGCAATAATTACAATAATCCCGATGCATAATATGGGCCCACGTGCAATATTATTATTATTATTATTATTATTATTATTACGATTGTAGTATAATAATAATATTATAAGGACCGACAGGCAATGCAGTGCGTGCGCGTAATAAATAAACAAAAAACACAATATAATGTGAGGAAGCGGCTGTATGAAGTGTATACCGGATGATCCATTTAACGGAAGACGCTCATCGTTATTTCAAAAACCAATGACGTTTTTGGAAACATTTATCTTACAACATTTTAAATCGTTAAAAAACAACATTTTCTAAGGAAAAATATTATTATTTTTATTGTTCATCTTTATATACTTTTATTTTTTAAATTGTTTTAAGAGGACGTCGCACCCGTATGTGTTGTCTCCGTCTTACACACGTAAGATATAGCAAATTTTCCTCCGCTAGTTTCAATAGGGTGCTGTCATTTTTGGTTGTAGAGTGAATTGACCTATTATCAAACTTTTACGTAACAACATTATCTGTGTTCTCTCATTGGTTTTTTACGATATTTTAATTTTTAAGTGAGTTATGAGCATTTTCAAACATTAATATTTTACATACTGATAACTCACTTAAAAATTAAAATATTGACGACAACTCATAATTCTTTATTCCAGAGCAGAATTTTTTTGAAATGCATCGATGTTTGAACATCAAATATTGGACGAGTAATTTATGAGTTATAACTTATAAGTATATAAGTTATAAGTATTTAAACGTTAAAGTTTAAATTGTCCTTACCTGCAGGTACCTGGTGGCTAGTACACAATCCTACTCAATATATATTATTTAAATATATTATGTCATGTAATTAAACTTATTTTTAATTTTTGCTTTTTATTACTTATCGTTTATAATAATTATTGGCTATAATGACTTAATTTAAACGGTCCCTTGATGGTCATAACTCATAACTCATAATAGGTGATATTATTATTCACTATAGTAATGTGTGAGGCGTGAAAATCGCAGAATAAATTTAATACATTTTTGTATATATATTTATATATTTTTACCTTTAAAGTGAACTTATTAGTAGCGCAGTAATAGCGATTAACTTTCAAAACAGCCTAACAAATATGTTAACAAGTTGTTAGACTATTTATTATAAGGAGAACGAAAGTAGATTTGATTGACTGGGGGGGGGGGAGTCACCTAGTGGCGGCACCCCGTACAAAAGTTAGTTACAACTTATTTGTTTTGGCTTAAACCAACGTCCATACAGTTAGGCTTTATATTTTGCGATGAATAAAAATGTTTTATTTATTTAAGCTAGTTTTGGCTAATTCAATGTTCAAGATCGATCGGAGTAGTGTAATTATTAATTTTTATTCCAAGGCGTGTATTTCTACTTTTAATTATAAAAAGAATTTATATTTTGCATTAAATTTATTCTATTTTTTTTTTTTGAGGAGGGGGGTAAATTAGGTTTGTTAAGGCCCATTTTCTTCATGGCACACCCCATACCAAATTCTTGCGCAAGCCTTTGTGGCCAAGTCGTCACATATTATAACGACAAGATTGTAGCGACGTACCGGCGGTTGTACGGCTGCTATACAATGTTGTCAGGAAAAACAATATTACAAAGTACAAACACAATTGTTATTTATTTCACCAAAATACAATATTATTTCAATATACAAAATAACAATCCGCAACGACGCCGATCACCTTCATCGGTCGCGCGCACAACTGTAACTACTGACATAACAAAAATAATAATAATAATAATTAGTGGGGATGCAGGCTGGCAAGCTAACATAATATTACTATATACAAGATAATGAGTGTAATGTGTCGTCCACCAAATTCAAAATCCGAAAAACGCGAGCTTCAGATATATGATTGAAATGATTTTCACATTTTTAGAATTGGGCACTTAACAAACGGAGTACGTACTTGAATATAATATGCGAAAGATATTTATTTGAATGTAAGTATACATATATATAGGAATGTTGTCGTTTTTTGGCTTTAAGCTTTTGACATTAATAGATTTTTTGTGCGTGTATGACAATATTACCACGGGACGTAAATACTTACAGTCATGAATGTATTGTAAAATAAATTTAAATATGTTATATAATATTATTATTGTTATTATTGCGACAAAATAAATCCGATTTGACGACGGATCGGCTATAACATAGGAACGTAGGTAGGTAGTGATGTTTTGGATATTAAATATTGGTCGTGCATGCTCGCTATAGAAAATTATAATGTTATCCTATATATGCCGTTTTATGTCCGCGCACAGCGAATTAGTATAATATAAATCGAGTCGTACCTACGATATACTTTTTTCAGTTCGACAAAGCGTATCAACCGACGAGATTGGGAAATTGGGAAGTTCCGAAATGGCATCTCAATCGTCCGAAGGGTCGTTCAACCGTTACGAAAGTCATTGCTAACGACAGGGGACATTTGCTTCCCGGGGTGCAAAAAACCGATCAGAAACACTGGGCAGGACTCTACTTGGGCACGTATCAGTTGCCGAAACGCATCTCTAAAGAAATCGGTAATATATTATTCTATTTATTAGGGCTTGAATTTCCACGTAAATTCAGTGGCGAGCCGGACCTAGGTGGCAGGTTTGTGCACACCGCATAAATTAATACAGATATAAAAGTAAAAATGTATTTTAATTGTAATTCAATATCAGTTAAACTGAATTTATTCTATGATACAAAATTAATTTTTAAAAACATTTGATATTCGCTTAGATATGACAATTATTATACTCCTAATTTAGTCGATATATGCAATAAATACACATACACTAGTGTGTGCATGTTAGTCAGAACACCGTAGGTCTGTGTAAATACGTTCGTTAAAACCAAAATAATATAATATTATGATAGTACCTACCAACCTAGCTACTATTATTTACAGAATAAAATTGTTCATTTTGTTAATACATGTACAATTGTACAATTATAGGTAATTAATAATATCATTCTTGTATGGTTGAAACTTGAAACAATGAATGTAAGATACCGTTTTCTATTCATCACTATTTTATATTATTATGCCTATGTAGACTTAACTTATTGGTTCTAATATTCTAATATTATATATCTAGTAAAGAACCAGAATTTAGTTGAAATTTTGTCATGATTTAAGACAATTTAGTAGATCGCCTAACAAATTAATATTTGTATTACATTTTAATATTATACAACAAGCAATTAAAAGAAAATGTATAAAAAAAATTGTATTTATATAAATATCTACATAAATAATATTTTACCTAAACTGTACTTTGCTCAAACGCCTCAAACCAGTCAAAATGTCAGTATTTTTACTAACGGTTTGGCAATAAAATATAATTAGTCTAAAGTAAATAATATATTCACTGTAAAACGTATGTGTAACCGACTAGGCGTATTGCATTTATAAAATATCACATTATATTATAATACAAAAATTCTACGTCATTCGTGGGCATTTTAACTATATGGTTGTATTATAATTTTTTGGGGGTATTTTTTTCGTCAGCCGTTTTTCCGTGGTATTTTTTACTGACTACCAAAATATAACGATAATATAATGTATTATGCGCTTACTCTGTGTACACAGCTACAGAACTGTCCGGTCCGAAGTGTCAGACGTGGATGAAACGCTCATATCATCACCCTTTCATCGACCGTGGCCAACGAAACAAGACCGAGAACGGCGAGAACAATAACAAACTGGAACTGATTAATGTCAATAAAGAACAACGACAACAGCATATAGCCAACGAAGAAGCCGACAGGGATTCGATTAAGTCCGTCAAGTCTGCGGTGAGTCATTGCCGAACGCCGTCGAGTCTTGTGGATCCTTGTGCGATAAATGAAAAACTATTGATTGATACCTCGATTGATACAGACAATAATTTATGACAATACAATAATCTATAATAATAAACGGAAATGTTTGTGTATGTGTGTGCGTGCACTGTGAAAGCGATCAAACAGCCAAGTCTATCGCACCAATAATCTATAATAATAAACGGAAATGTTTGTGTATGTGTGTGCGTGCACTGTGAAAGCGATCAAACAGCCAAGTCTATCGCACCAATGGTTCTGAAATTTGTTAGGTAGGTGGTATAGGTAATGCTGTAGGTACCTACCGGAGAAGTGCTATAACGATGTGCACCTCGTTTGCATCTTAAAGAAGGACACACACAGGGATTTTTTGGCTCACGAACAACTTATATTGTTATGTTTGTATTTAGGGTTGCCATCGGTTACAGAAAATAAAACAGTTATTACGCAATTGGATATAATTTTAGAGTTTAGACCTGTATTTTATATTTAATCAAAAACTCCTAAATTACTGTTTTCAAAATATGCGTGTAGCTTACATTGGACGGAGTTTAAAACAGGGTAAATTCACTGACATTATTTGACTTGATACAGACATGAGACAACACTGCAGTGCTGGATCAAAAACTATAACCTCTGAAAATGTATAAAACTTTATTTTTATTCATTTATTGTTGCCATTGGTTGCAGAAATAGTTTTTAATTTCTATGATTGGATATAATTTTAGAACTGTATTTTTATTTGGACAAAATAACCCATTATAATATTACTATATGTTAAAAATCTGTGCAGTTTATACATTTAACGGAGTTTAAGAAGGGTTTACCTCAATCATTTAATTTGTCACGGGCAACATCAGGCAGGATCAATACTATAATAATAAGGATATAATATGCAACTTTGATAAATAAAATTGCAATATTGTTTTAAAATTAGATATGTTTAGTTAAACTTTTAATTAAATGTTATTTGACTCATGAACAATAAATAAAAAAAATTTGGTTGTCTACCGAAACAACACGTAAGTCACCATTTAATATAATATAATTGTAGCAACAAAATAAATATTTATTATCTACTATACGTCATGTTCGGTTACGGTGAGTCGATGTATAATACGCTACACTATATATTGCATATAAATATATAATTATTAGAAAACATACTACAAAAAATAAATATATCTGTATTACCAATACTTAATTGTTAATATGAATTTTATCCTAACTATAAAGCAATGTAAAAATTATTTTATATAAAGTTGTTATTAAGAATTTAAATGTAGTAACTACGCAAGTTTTTTACAATCTCACATTAAGTATCTAATATTATTCTACGATAAGTAATAGAAGCTATAATAACTGCATAGTAATGACAAAATCTATTTACTTTTAAACTATTTTTTTTTAATATAAATATTAATTAATTTAAATCATAAATTTTAAAAAGAGACAACATTTTCAAGAAGACAAATTCGATACGTACCGACTCGTACCAAAAACTGACTCTGATACGGGTCGGTATGGTACACGCTGGTATGCCACATGTCCACTTCTTGTGTTACTTCTTGAACGCTCAATATTGGACCGATATACGTATCGATGCACTCCAATTTCAATATAGAAAATCTTGAATTTTTGTACCTAAGTAATCTTTGTAACAACAATAATGATTTTGAATTCTGATAAATTTTATAGTACATTTAAAATATAAAAAATAAAAAAATATTTTTTTTTTTTTTGTAAAACCGTATTTTTTTTCTTAATTTTGCCATTTTGTGACGGCTGATTTAAATTGGGTCAAGAACGGAAATAAATGGTTTTAAGGGCCGCATACCACTTTGCTCCTCAGTCCTCACCTATCTATGTACAATCACTACAATGTACAATGTGTTCAGTGCTCTTCACCAGGGGTCTCCAAACTTTTTAATTCAAGGGCCACAAAAAAAATCAAATGCTCTTAGCGGGCCAAAAGTGTATTAACACATATAATTTTTAATTTTATAATAATATAGGTAAATATATAAATAATATGTTTATAATTTATATAAATAAAATATAAATATAATATAATATAAATACATTTTTGAAATAATTTTTTTATCTATATTTACCTATACGTCCTATGCGGGCCACGGGCGGGTTAAATATTGTTCACGGGTCGTAGTTTGGAGACCCCTGATTTAAAATATACTAACTACTCTAAACAAATTTCGTTTAAATATATTGATTTGCCACGTAGATACTGAGGATGATACTTGACTTTTGGCCCCTTATATACTGCCTTAATATATTCTAAATATAATTATGACTTAAAATTTATATGAGTAACTATTATACTATTAAAATATTGCACTTATTAGTGCATATAAATATATTTACCTACCTACCTATTATACATTATAATTAATAATATAAAATAACATCATACTATTTAATAGTAACTATTAACTAAAAAGAATATTTTTTTAAAATACTTATGTATTTAATATTGTTTTAAAACATTGGAACCCCCTTCTCCTCATAACAAAATCCTAGATCCCCCACTGGGTTTACCCACCTATCTTATTTCCTTCTACTTACTTAATTTTCTAATTCTCATAGCCACTCTCACTTGCTCTCTATCTCTCTCTCTCTCTCTCTCTCTGTCTCTCACGTGATGATTGGGTACAATATAAGTAAAAATGTTGCTCATTGTGGGTGTTAAAGTAATAATATTATTATGACGTATTGATTCGATTTCAGGTATCGGACATGCCGGCGCCAAACGTTTCCAGGATCGAGACGGTCAGGAATTGTGCATCGGCGGACGGCCGAGGACCTTTGAACTCCACTGCAGATGACGACGACTGCGACAGCGGAGGCGCTAATAGGACAAGACAACGCGGAGCAGTCAACGGCGGCGGCGGCGCGAAAACACCGTCCAGCCCTGCGCTGAGCCGCATAAGCGCAAGCTGTGGACACCTGCAGGTCGCGGGCGCGGAAGACGACGACGGCGCGAGGCCGCAGGTGGCCGGTAACGACCAACCGACGGGACGCCGGTACGGGGACGCACAGAGACATCACGGGCTGCCAGACGCCATCGAGGACGCTGTGTACCGGTCGCTGCAGACCAAGCGGCATAAACACCCGGGACTGGGACTGAACGGCTGCTGGCCCAAGTGTTCCGCGGTGGCGTACAAGTCGTTCAACGACCCAGGGCCGACGCAGTGCAGCAAGCTCCGGGTGTACAGGCCAAAGACGTCATCGTCGTCGTCGCCGCCTCCGTCGTCAGCGGACGGCGGTGACGGTGAGAAAAAAGACCCAGCACGGAGGCGTAACAAAAATCTGTCGCGGCCCAAAACGTGCGGACCCGCCATGACGGCCCAACAGTTAACCGACATCAAGCTGGCCCTGTGCTGGGACCTGGACGCGCCGTTCGACCGGAACCGGCCACCAAGACCGCCCGACGAGCCAGCTGTGTTCCACAAGGTTCGGCAGCAACTGCAAATGCAACAGCAAATGCAGCAGCCGTGCGCTGGGGGCCCCGCGGCCGGCAAACCACAAAACTCGTCGGCCGTCATGGGCTTCGTGCGAACGGCCGGAAACTGTAACGTCGACGGTGACGGTGACGGCGAAGTGGTGCCGGAAGCGAGACGAACTCAGACCCGCGAGTGTCTGATGAAAAATCGCAATCTGTCGGCCGTCATGGAACTGATACCGAACAAAGAACGTGAGGACGGCCGTAGACTCGCAGCCGCAGCGACGACGGCGGCGGACGGCGTTGTCACCGCGACCACTGACCGAACTGCTCTCTCGAACAAATCGTCGTCGTCGTCGTCGTCGTCCGCATGTCGCGGCAAAAACGGTTCGGACGTCAACGGCCGGAACGACGACGCTTGCAAATCAGACGACCACGACCAAGCCGATCACGACGACGACGATAACGACCACCACCACAAGTCGAACAAGTCTGGTGCGGTGCAGGGTTCCACCGTCGATTCGCCGTCCCGCGATCGACGCCGTCATAGGCCGACACAACACTGCAGCAGCTCCACCGCGGAAAAGGAACCTAAACCCAAGCGGCATGGCCGACACTCCTACCGGCCTTGTCTGGCTTGCGACGACCCGAACGTGGCCGCGGCCTCCAACTTCAAGAGGGACGACGAGTGCGAGCACTACAAGATGGCATTCAAGGCGGGCGTGCCGGTCAGTACGCCGGTCAGGCTGCGGACGGCCGCGGCCGGCAAACCGGCTAAGCACCTCAAAGTGCCCAAACCGAAGACCACCAACTCGGACAAGAAGAAGTACGTTATCGGCACGCTGCTGCCACCGTTCTCCATGTGGCCCGGCACCACGGCCCGCGATTACCCCGAACACTGGAGGCTCACATCCGTGTACAGGCAAGCGTTCAAGCCGCTTGAGCTGCGCAAACAGCCTCTGCTCCAGACCATTTATCTGTGAAGACGGCGACGGCGGAGCGGTGAATGACGGAGATCGTTGGTGATGGGGAATGGGGGACAGTAAGTATATATCTAAATAATGTAAGCAGTAAGACTCATATAGGTGGACATTTTGGGGAGGAGGAGCTTGATGGACCTTAGTGCCCCTTAAATTAATTTATTTGAGACCGAAGTACCCTCAAAAATAAAACAAATAATACCTATTTTACACGGAAGTCTAGATTTAAATTTACATTAGGTTATTATTTTAGATTCCGAGTGAAGGATTGGTTTGACAATGATATTTATTATTTATTTATTCTTCTTTATTTTTCTGTGTAGGTAAACGTTTTTGAGCCCAAAAAATGCCTACATTTCTTTAGATCGAAAATGTCCTCATAGATTCGTACTTAAGATAGGGAAAAACCATAAAAAATTTGAATTTTTATCTATTGTTTGATTTATTTAGAGTTGTTGTCTTAGATAATTAAGCTCTACTGTTAAAATTTGACTAAAATCGGTAAATTGGACAGTCATGAAATTTATTTTGAATATTTATTCGTAACTCTAAAATTAGGTAATAGTTTAGAGACTTAAAGTAAAATATTATAACGGTAAGACAGGTGGACCGGGCTTAAGGCATGGTATCAAATACTTAACCGTTAACCCCCCCCCCTCAGCCCTCTCAATATTTACAGGATCTCCGCCTATACTTACTGAGTAAGTATATCTAATACATATATATTATAATATATAAAAGTGATTGTGCGTTTGTTTTTAAAGCGGTCAAAGATTACTTATTTTTCTTTACTTAAAATGCACATATTAGGTTCGGTTGGTACTTGTCCCGCTGGTTTTTGTTTTTAATATGTGCCGCAAAAAATATTAATAAAAAATAAATTATTTACGGCCAATATAACGTTTGCCGAGTCAGCTAGTATTTATTATACAAAATAATCTAATGTTATTATATGTTGAGTAATGATTGTAGACGACATCATACTTATATTCTAATTTAAGAACCAATCATAATTCATAGCGAAACTAAAATAATTCGAATTCGTATT